GCTGAGTCACGGCCACAAAAACTGAGGGGCGTGTCATGGGGATACGATACCCCAGTTCCGGCCAGGAGGATGCTGTGTCTCACGCCCCAAGGCAAGGAAGCCCAAACAGAAAGGCTTTGAGAAAGAAAGGAAACAGGACTGTGAATGGAAAATTTCAACCGACCGCCACCCAGGAATCCCCTTGGCCTGGGGTTGTCTTTCGCTCCCACCTCGACCCGCTGAAATCCTGCCCCTTCCTGACGCCCAATTAAAACACCATGTCCTTAGGGCATCCTACTCTTGCTTTCGGCTCAGGTCGATCTCATCTCATAGTTCTGGGTTCGAGCCCCGCGTCGGGCTCTGTGCTGACAGCTCGGAGCCTGGAGCCTGCTTCGGATTTCTGTGTCTCCCTCTCTCTCCGCTCTTCCCCTGCTCATGCTCTGTCTCTGTCTGTCTCTCTCTCCAAAATAGATAAAACATTAAAAATTAAAAAAAAAAAATAAAAGAACAAGCTAATTTAAAAAGAGACAACATGTCCTTGAGGCTTCAAACCATCTTCTGATGCAGCATCTGCCCCCCTCCTCTGCCTGCAGGTGACATTTCAGGCCTCGGTGACCACGGCCTGGTGGTCAGCTGGGGTTGCACACTTCCCTCATCACAGGCTCAACCTCTCCCACAATGGCTCATCTTCTCTTTCTCCCCAGCTCGAATGTGCTCCGGTGGCCTCGCCCATTTTCATGTAACTCTACACGTGCTTACCCACATGTCTCGTTGTCTCGTAGGTGCTTTTTCTGACCCTCCGTCTCCAGGGTCCAAAATGACTGCCCACTGAAAAAATATATTAGCGCCCCTTGGTATTGAGCCAGACGAGCTGACAACTCGGGTCCACGCAAAATCGTGCACCTGGACACCCATAGGACCTTTACTCCCCATCGCCCAAACTTGGAAGCTACCAAGGTGTCCTTCAGGGGCCGAATGGATACACTGTGTTGCACGGAACGGAATTTTATCAGAGATAACAAGACGCGAGCTGCCGAGTCACAAAAAAGGCGCAGAGGCAATGTAAGCGCATAAAAAAATCTATTCATTGAGGCGCTTGGGTGGCTCAGTCTGTTGAGCGTGTCTGACTCTTGATTTCCGCTCAGGTCATGATTTCACGGTTCATGAGATCATGAGAGCAAGCCCCACATCTGGCTCTGCACTGACAGCTCAGAGCCTGCTTGGGATTCTCTCCCTCCCTTCCTTCCTTCCTTCCTTCCTTCCTTCCTTTCTTCCTTTCTTCCTGTCTTTCTTTCTTCTTCCCTTCCTTCCTTTCTTCCTGTTTCTTTCTTCCTCCCTCCCTTCCTTTCTTTCTTTCTTTCTTTCTTTCTTTCTTTCTTTCTTTCTCTCTCTCTGCCTTTCCCCTGCTCTCTCTCCGTTTCTCTCTCAAAAGTAAACAAATCAACTTTAAAAAAGTCTATTCATTGAGGCACCTGGGTGGCTCAGTCGGTTGAGCATAGGACTCCTGATTTTGGCTCAGGTCAGCATCTCCCGGCTCACGGGTTCAAGCCCCACGCTGGGTGTTAGGTTTTGCGCTGATAGTGCAGAACCTGCTGGGGATTCTCTCTGCCCCTCCCCCGCTCTCTCTTAAAATAAATAAACTTAAAAAAAAGTCTATTCATTAAGAAAAAAGAGGGGCAGCTGGGTGGCTCAGTCAGTTAAGCGTCGAATTCGGCTGAGGTCATGATCTCACAGTTCAAGCGTTCGAGTCCCATGTCGGGCTCTGTGCTGACAGCTCGGAGCCTGGAGCCTGCTTCCGATTCTGTGTCTCCCTCGCTCTCTGCCCCTCCCCCATTCATGCCCTGTCTCTGTCTCTGTCTCTCTCGCTCTCTCTCTTGCTCCAGGGCCGTTGGCTGAATTTCCTACCATGCCCAGTGGGTGCAGTGAGAGGTTTCCACATCTGCACTGAGAGGGTTTGGGCAGCAAACGGTTCCTGAGCCCAGGTTAGGGGGCTGCGGGCTGCGGGGCACTGAGAGGCCTGGGTTGGGCCTAATGTGGGCAGGGCTCTCACACCCCCAAAGGCTGGGCAGAAATGGCGGGTCCAGGTCCCAGCATCACCCCCTCCCTTCCTTCACCTAGGTTTGTCACTTCTCTGAACCTCGCTCTTCTCATCTGTAAATGGGGAGCACAATTCCTGCCCCACAGTTGGGAGGGTTAGATCCATGCATGTCTGGGCTGCTCCCTCCCATTAGGCATGGGCGTGACCCCTGCCCTCAGGGCCCTTCTATCTGGTTGGGAAGGGAAGGCCCACGGACTTTTAAAAAAAAAAATGTCACACCCGCAGTGTGACAAATGAAGATATAGCAGGAGAGTTGCTGGAGACGACTTCTGGGTTCTCAGTGGTTTCCAAAGGGGGACAGGGCCATGTGAGAGGTCTTCTGGAAGCGTCCAGAGGAGGGCCTCCGAGGAAGCGTGTGCTTGTCTGGGAAGGGACGTTAGTCATCAGCCGGGGAGGAATAGCCAGCAAGAGCCAAAACAAGGAAGTGGGAGAGAGTACCACAGAGCGAGTGTCCAGAAGCAGCCTCCGACGTCTGACAGGCTCCGAGGCCAGTGCTCAGGGAGGCCCCCAGACCAGGAACACTGGCCAGTGACACGACCCCTGCTCTTCCTGAGCCGTCTGTGCTGGGAGACCCAGCAGGGTCTGGGGATGTGAAGGGCGTGGTTTGGGAGCCAGACAAGAGCTGCATGACCTTGGACAAGTCACTTCACTCCTCGAACCTCAATTTCCCCAAATGCAAAGTGAGGGTGGTTGTGAGTTGCAACATATACAGCACCGCCACGGGGCCTGTCACCACGGAAGGGGGTCATTTGGGTGGCAGCCATGATTATTATTGGGGGCTGGGAGAAGCCAGGGCCGGTTGAACCCCTTGGACCCTCCCCGGGTGCCCAGCCTGAGATGCATCCCCGCAGGTGCCCGCAGGGACCCACGACTGCACGAATGGGGGAGCGGTGGCTCTGTCCCCAGGCCCGGCCCCGGGGAGGGCCTGTCTCTGGGTGCCCTGTGGACCCAGAGCAGGAAGGCCGTGACCCATAATTAACCAAGGCCCGGCTGGGCAGGCGGCCAGGCTCTCCCTGGTGCCCACGTGATACTCCGTCAGCCTCCATGAGCACACGTGCCGCAATCTGAAACCCAGCCACAGGCTGGAACCAGTTGCACAGGGAACCGAGTTGTCACAACAGGAAGGGCGTGTTTGGAGGCTGCCAGAGGGACAGTGGAGGGGGCCTGGGCCCTGTTCTCCCACACCCCAGGCCACCCAAGAGCTGCGAGGCCGCAGGTGCCTAGAACACGGCTACCGGGAGCGTGTCCTTGGCAGGGTGCTGGATTCAGCCCTGGCCAGCCATCCCTGACCTCGGCCTTCAATTGTGAGGATTGTTCGCGCTTTAGGAATCCGCGTGCCCTGCACCTCAGGCCAACAGCTCCACTCCCGCTGCCCTCACGACCTGCCCCTGCAACATGTCCTCCCGAAGCCTGCTTACCATCTTGGAGGATCTGCTCAAATTCTGCCCTTTGCAGGAGCCTCCAGGGCCCCCAGGGCCCTTGCTTGTCCCCCAGGGAGCCTTGTCCACAGCCCCCCACCCGGCAGGAGGCGCTCAGATGTAGATAACGTGTGTTCTTCATTCATGCCTTCCTTGGTCCCCGGTATTATGTGTCTGCTGTGTTAGAGGGAGAGGTGGCGTCAGCGTGGGTAAAGAGCGTTGGAGAAGGAGCCAGGAGCCCCAAGTTTGGGAAGGATCCGTGGCCCTGGGCCTTCCCTGGGCCTCTGCTTCCTCACCTTACAAGGAGTGTAGGACTCACCTGGCTGCCCTGTGGGGTCTTGGGGCTTTGATGTTCTATGGTCCCAGATGCTGTCCCCAGTCTCCCCCCCCCC